ACCATAATAGCACAATCAACACCCAATCACAGCAAGAACACAAAATATACGTGGTTCGGTAAATTACCTACGTCCACGAGGCAAGGAGATGGGAGTTTTACTATTAGAATTCAAAGGGAATACAATTAGGGTTACAAATCTTACCACAAACCCACAAATAAGCCCTCTTAATCTCTCCAAATAGCTCCAACAATAGAAGCCCCAAATCTTCTCTTTCTGCAGCCCAAAATCCTCTCCATTCAACCCTAAAAACGAGTTAAGGGTATACGTACAACTCCCAAACGAAACGGGTCTGGAAACCAAACCCAACCCAAATCCGATACGACGGTCGACCGCCACGGTCGACCGCGCAGGAAATTTCCTGTTTGTGCATGTTGTTTGTGTGCTGATCTTATCACTCGATCTTGGAACTCATCGCGGTCGACCGTCACGGTCGACCGCCTCAACTCCAGAGACTTCTGCAGTTTCTGGGCACAGGCGTGGTCGATCGTCACGGTCAACCGCCAACCATCCAGAAACAGCACCAGCTCCCGTGCACGAATTCGGTCGACCGCCATAAACCCACGGTCGACCGCCAAGCTGCCAAACTGAATCATGGGCTCCGTCAACTGCTTTTCCTGCCAATCCTACAAAGTTTTGTAACCAATGCTGTATGCAAACTACAGTTACTCATAGTCTCTCAATCAGGATGATAGATCTCCATTATTTCTTAGGCCTCTTTACGAGAAATGTTTCTGATGAAATTAGTATGCAACAAGGGTTGATCCCTGAAGAACGGGCGTTGCATAGTGCTACACGTAACAGCTGCCCTTATGATTGTACGTTAGACTTTGGGTGAGACAGCAATCTATCTCGGATGAAGCCCGACACACGGGAATGGGGATCGCCAGAATTCTACAGCTTTGCTTGTTCGTTATTGCCCGTGATTTTTCTATCCTATCCTAATATCAATTCTACTAGAAGTACCACATAACCACTGTCTTTTCATAAACTACTTCGTGCTACCAAGTAATTATGAACAACTGCCTGAGAATATCTCCATCAAATTGACCCTTACACAGGTCTGTGCTTGTACCGTTTCCTCCTCTTTTTTTCTTGTTTCTTGGGGACAAACATCAGGGGTAAATTTCTTTTTAGGCGCATTGCTTAGGGCATCAACGACAAATACCTTTGCAGTGGCAGGTGGATTGAGTAGCGGAGAATTTAAATAAGAATTTTGTTGAGGGTCAATGGAAGAACTAGATAAATGTTTGGCAAAGGAATGTGATTTTCTGACAAATGATCAGATCGCAAATTAATATTTGATGAATTTTATGATAAGATTCTTTCCCATATTTAAGGGAGGGATTGGTCCCAAAAGTGGTCCACCTTTTATATTCAGAAAAGAGAAATATAAAAAGGGTTCCTCTTATGATATTAAATGGGGAGGTTAGGGGATGGCATGTTATTGTAGGGATATAACTCAAGGTGCATAAAACTAGTGCAAAAAAAAAAAAGCAGTAACCAAAAGAAAATACAAAGGGTTAACAGTAAAACATATATGAAGCAGTATTTAACAGAACTTATAGGAAATTAAAAGTAAACATCTGCCAGAAGACATCTTAAACCACCAGGCATCCGATCTTGTTAGATTGCAAGCTTGGGGATGTCAACGTTACCATATATATGAAATTGAATGGATTTAGAACAAAAAGAGTAACAAAAATTAACTCTAATAAGCATTGAACATGGGTCGAATTATCCAATAAGGCCCCGTTTGGCAAAGGGTTAATGAAGAGGGGTTAAAGAGAAGGATTAATGTACTTAGCCCATTTGATAATCCGAAGGACTAAATTATTAACCAGTTAAATAAGTTTTATTTTAGCCCTTATGGTCAGTTTTAGTGTTTGGGAATAACAATAATTTTAACTATTTTCTTTATAATTAGAAGGGTTAACTCTTATTCTATCTAAATAGAAGTATTAGTAAACCCCTCATTTTGAAGGGTTACCTCATTTTGAAGGGTTAACTTAACCCTTGTATATTTTTTATGTTTGGCAAATTATGGAGGGTTAACTCACTTTAACCCTTATATAGATTTGATGTGTTTGGCAGGTTAAGAAGGGGTTAAGTCTCCTTAACCCCTCACTTAACCCTTTGCCAAACGGTACCTAAGGGAATGTTAATACTACCAGAATACTTGTCCACTGATTAAATAAGTGGACGTTGGGATCTAAGAGCTCCAACATTAGATCTAGAACAGGGCCCCGGTGCCACTTCGAAGTGCGAGGATATTTTCAGTTTGTGTACGAGGTGTAACTGTTTTAACCAAGAGCTGAAAATTCCATCATAAAGGGAGTTCGGTGCTACAGATGAGTGATGCGATATCCAGATGCCTGTGTAGCACAAATGCTTGGTGATGGTAATGGATGCATATTTCATGGTCCCTCTCATACTATACCATTCGCGTCCTCTTTCTTATTGTAATTTTGCGTCCTTATCAGCTGGCAGCATCTGGTTGGAGAAATCCTGAAAGATGATTCGAACGATTTTTTTTCTTTTTACCCTTTATTTTCCCTGTAGTCAATAACAGGTCTATATCTGTAGAATATTACTGGTCAAATTCTTGTTGCTCATTATGGAGCTCTTCTCTCTATTGCATTTTCACCCACAGAACTTGATGCTCAGAGTCAGATATGGTGTTAGTTTAAGTTAGCAAGTCCTTTTATTAGGACTTCTTGTTTGATTAAATACAAGAATTACAAATGAAAAAAGAGATCACATTATCTATAGCGTTCGAAGGGTTTGTTTGTCTCTGTATCCTTTATCTGCTTGTTTCCATGCATAGTATAAAGGTTAAATTTCACAACTAAGTCCAACGTAAACTTTGGGATTTTAGACAAAACTACAACAAACTTTTTCACTGTAGAAAACTGTAAGTTTTATCATGATGAGGACATCACGGGCAGATTCGGGCGTACCTACCGGCGTAGGAAACGTCCTCTGGTGGACAGCATGACTATCTGGTTTTGATTTGAAATTTGAATTATGGTTCAAATTTAGTAGTTGATTCAGTTTTAGCAGTTTAGATTTGAAATATGAATTATGGTTTAAATTTAGTAGTTAATTCAGTTTTTAGTATCTGAGTGATTTTAGGGATTTCCTAAATCTGTATTTTTTTTCCTTTTTAAGCACTGCGTAATTAGAAAAGAAATTAATAAAGATTGGAATTAAAAATTTTTGGTTACCTACATAGTTGAAAACACTCGTGGCCTAGTGGTGTGAAACCCTAGCTGCCGCCTCCTAGTCCTCCCCCCCTCCCCACCTCCGAGCAGATCGTCGGCTTCCTTGACCTCCTTCTCCACCTCCGTGTAGGCCATACTCCTCCCCTGCTCTCATCACCTCACCCATTCAGACTCCATCCAAGCCTCGAGTAAAAATCCCCTAACAAGCCTCGCCCCTGTTCACGATCTTCCATCCTCCGTCGCCTGCATCCCGTCGTCGCCAGTTTCGTCCGTCATCCCCGCGCTCGCCGCGCTGCTGTTGCCCTCCCGTCGCCCTCGTCCCTTCGTCCCGTCGCCGCTTGACATTCTAGTACAACGTTGTTGTCCGACGCCACACCGAAGACTGTCGCCATTCTTCATCCTCGAACAGTCGCATCACCTTCTAGTTTCCTCAGACCGAAGACAACGCAGAGAAAGCACTTCAGGTGTGATCTATTTTGATCAAACCCGACTTTGGTTCAGTGGATCTGATTTTCAGTTCAGATCCAACTCGCAAAGGCAACAGATCCATTAACTATTCATACCTGATCCAAAATCTATTTCAGACCCGTTTGGAGTCCAATTCGAACCTGATTCGAATTCGATTCGAACCCCGACTCTACGACCTATTAGTGCATGGCCGATCCTGCAGCCGAGGACGCCCAATTCGTGTACGACCCAA